TCTTCAATATTGAAAACATAATTTTCAGTTTAAATGTGGCATAATTCGATACGAATTTTGTATAACATGCTTAAATATTGCATTCTGATATGCAGGAGGAGAGGGGGATGTATGTATTTCGTGCTTTGCTCACGAAATTTCTAAACCATTTCGCTGAAGTGCCAAAGTTAAGGAAGAATGAAAGGTTTAGGGTTGCGGAATTGTGTAAATCAAAGAGTAGATTGAAGAAATTTGGGAGGAATGACATTTTCATAGTATGATATCAAATCAAATTACAAGTTTATCCTTAAGCTTCGTCGGTTCAATGACCGAGGTTGGTAATTATCAGTTACGTATTGTTGAGGTTGCAATTTATCAAAAATAAAAGTTTAGGTTGCAAATTTGTTCAACACACATAAAAATCAAAAAAATCTGGCTAAAGTAAAAAATTATATTATAAGATATATTCCAAAGGAACAAAATGGTCCACTCTCCTTTGCATACTACAGTAGTATGTGTGTGTGTCTGCGAATGCAGAGAGAGAGAGAGAGCAGTTATCCACTACAAATACTTAGGTGTGTCCTGGCACACCTGACAAGGTGTGCCAAATCTGTTTGAAATGAACATATTATGTTACAAAATGAATATGTGCACATTGTCCACATCTGATGTACAGCTCATCACAAGGATCACTTTATGGTTTATAATATATATTGAGAGGGGGTATTTTGGGTAATCGCACGTGGTTGGCGTACAGTGGGGTGGCTAAAGATTTAGTCAGTATTGAATTGGAAAAGGCATAGTTGGTAAGTGCGGACGTGTGGAGTGTGAGAGGGAGCTCACTGCACGGGTGTGCTGTGCTCGTGTGAGTGGGACCTACTTCACTCACCCACCCAATACTGTCTCTATTATTTATAACTTAAATTCATATTTTATAATATTTTTCTTTTTTTTTTTTTTAAATCCCTAGAGATTGTAATAAGTCTTCAATAGTCAAAACAAACTCAAAGTGACAACCTTCTATTTTTTATTATGTAAGGTAAGGAAGGATCAATTATATCCAAAGTGACAGAGAAGGCTCACCTACCCACGGTTGACACATGTTAATATATGTTTATCGCTAATGTAGCATGCATGCATATATTGGTGATGTATTTTTTGCACATATTAACATCATCAATGTGTGCATGTCACATAAGCGGTTGACATATTAACATGTGTCCACCGTGGGTAGGGGAGCATTATTCCCAAAGTGACTACCCTTTAAGGATCTTAACTGTCGGATCACATACTGACATATACATTTATGTAGATGAATATTAATCTGACAGTTAAAATCGTGCAACTTAGGGTAGTATGAAATTCCTGTAATATAATTGTGATGAGTATATAAATTGTGTCATGCATTGTTTTGAAACCCGATCGAACTGGCCCAACAGGTTGTTCGGTCCAGGTAGCAAGGGACTCAGTCAAAACATAGTAAACCTGTCAACTTCGATATTGACCTATTGGGTCAACTCCGTTTGACATGACCGTTAAATATTTGTAATAATTATTTTTTAAAATAAAATTATATATATTTATGTGGTACATATAAATATTTATGACGAAATACAAAATTATTAAGATATTTTAGTATAAGATTTGCGTAAGTTTTATTATTTATATATAGGTATTAGATAAAAATACTATAAATACAATTTAAAGTTTTACAAAATTAATAATTGACTCGATAACTCGATAATTGGACCATTGACCCGTTGACCGGAGTGTAATCCGGTCAATTACGTGTCCGGTTTTTATAACTAGGGTGCCATGTACCACATGCCCACTATTACTAAAGTTGCTACAGTGGTCCATCAAACGGATAAGATAAGATGCATCTTCTTTTGATCTAAGCACAAATTTTTTATCATTTATTAGATAGTTTATGTTTTTATTTTGAACTGTAAAGGTAATTTTTTAGTTTAAGGCATAGTAGTTTTAGTTATTACACTACAAAAAAACATCTTACATTCCAACGGAAAATTTCCGTTGGAATTCTTTATATATCCGTTGGAATAAGTATTCCAACGGATATTCCTACGTGTAACAATTCGTAGGAAAAACGGCCGTTGGAATAGCTAAAATCCAACGGAAAATCTTATGGAAATAAATTCCTACAACTATTCCAACGGAAAAAATCCGTTGGAATTCCTCAACTATTCAACACTTTTTCCAACGTAAAATTAAGTTTGTTGGAATATTTATTGGAATTTCCAACGAAAATTTTTGCCGTTGGAATTGAAGTGTTTTCTTGTAGTGTTATTGGAAAAAGTGTTATTCATATCCAGGAAAAAAAAATACCTATGAAACAATCCATAAATAATATGTACCCCTTACCAACCAAGCGCAAGATCTAATATTTTTTATTTTTTACATGGTCATAGAAGCCCTGTTTGGCAACAACCAACCAAATAACTGATAGACAAATTGTAAAAGAGGATAGTGGATTGAGTATTTTTGGTTAGCATGTGCCAATAAAATTTTATAAATTAGATGTGTATGTTTGTATAATATTTAAAATCATATAAATTATTTAACTTATATATAAATAGTATGTTGATTGAAATTATGTAATTTTTTATATAATATTCAAAATCACATAAATTATTTAACTTTTATGTAAATAGTATTTTGATTAGAATTATGTAATTTTTGCAACTCTGAGTGATTAAAACCAATTAATAAGATGAGAATATATTGAAATTATTGTTATAACAATTGTGTGCCGAATTTTAAGTGATTTGATAATGTCATACAAATCAATTATGGTGATATGTACATGTATAAATGTAAAATATATTTGTTGAATATTAAGAAAAAATAATTAATTGTTTTCAGAGAACATATTCAATTTATATTCATTCCCATAATTATTACAATTTATGGTATCACTCTATCTACTAATTAATTTTAACTACATCGTATTTTTTGTGATTGAACTTACGTACAATTAAAATATATATGTCAACAATTAGGCAACCTACCAATTAAGCATTTGTTTTAACATCAAGTCAATCATTAATAAATTTCGTGAGTGTAAAGAATGTTAAGCATTTAAACTACCAAAATTAAGAAGTTATGTCTTCTGTAGCGCAACTTATTAATTAATTTATCCATTAATGCAATTGTAAGCGTGTATATATATATATATATATATATATATATATATATACATATAGTGTGTGTGTGTGTGTGTGAGTGAGTGAGTAAGAGAGATATTAAAATTCTATAGTTCCCCTCGAAATGTTATTCGTGCCGAGCCAAGTTGAATACTCATGTTTAAACTTGTGATAGTTTAATAAATGAGGCAGATTAACTTGACTATTTAATAAATAAACAAAAATATGAGCTCGAATTCGACTTGTGTAAGCTTCAATCTATCTGATTTATTCGATTTTTCTAATAAGAAAGTTTGACTAGTCATCCTAGCTTGGCTCATTTAACATATAAATGATATGAGATCAAACTATCACGAATTGAACAAATACAATCCGATTATTCAGTTGCAATAACTGTTCTATCCCCTCCCAAATTTTTTTCATGTGTACGCCCCTGATTGTTTTTTTTTTAATTAGGTGTCTAATAGATCTAATATAGTATCATGCCTCTACTTCGCAACATTTGAACTTTTTATGTACTTTTACAATTCGGATTTATTATTGTTTTTCTTAGATTGAAGAAGACAAGTATATCAGTTGGATCTTACAAAATATTAATTCTATAAAGACAAATATTATATATTTC